CATGCTGTAATACACTGTTTAAATTTAAAAGTCTAAAGAGTATACAACTTAAATTCTTAATTGAATAAAGATTGTCCCTCAGCAGTGATCAGGATTCGAAACCGGGTGTTTTCTGGTGACAGTTCCACCTGGCGGTTTTACAAGGTGATTCTGGATACTATTAACATAATCTAATTTGCATATGGTATGATGCGGTATACTGCGACACGCCCACCGTGTTATACTGCAGCATACCCCGCTTGTTTTGAATGGCTGCATCTGTACAGATATTCTCTTCAAATGTTGTTTAAACGAGTGCAGCCCACACCCGGTTACCCTCCCCCCACTGTGAGGACATAAGCACTTAGTGAAAAAGTGCTTTAACAGCTTTGGTGAAGCCAAATGAAATTATGTAAAACTATCTGAATGACTTCATTGTAACTTATTTGAATGAGCAGAAAAAGCATTTTGTGGTTTATTTAGGCTCAAATCTTACTGATCACAGTCCTTTGACTTTTCTTCATTATATGCGTAATCATAATCAACAACTGATCCAACTTTTATGTTACAGAGTTACTCCCTGGGAATTAGATGATATAAGATCACTTTATTGGCCATATACAATTTCTTGTATTAGGAATTTGTCTTTTTACATACCCCAACTTGTTCTCCATGAGACACACAGACAGGGAGAGAAGCTTGGGGTCAGAATGCAGGGTCAGCCATTTATACAGCACCACTGGAGCAGTCGGGGTTAAGGGCCTTGCTCAGGGGCCCAACAGAGTAAGATTCCCCTGCCAGCCGCGGGATATGAACCAGCCACCTTCAAGCCACAGGTGCAGATCCTTAGCCACAGAGCCACCGCTCTGTGACAACAATTATATAACAAGAAGGGCATGAAGAATGTTGTGCTTGGCTTTGTTGGAATTGTTGGAGTTGTAGCAGAATTTATCTTGTGAACTACCTACTTCATTATAAGAAACATTGTTTGTTATTAAGGGTTTGGGTGCTATGTCCCACTGTGTTTGGTAATTGGAATAGGCAGTCTTACTTGGGTTGTTGTGTTTTCCTTTGTATGACAGTCTGGGACCGGCGTGGTGACTTGCTGGCAAATTGCTAAATTATGTCATTGTTCCATAACCTGTCAGTGATTCGTCAACATCACATTAAACATTAAACATTCGTGTTTAAAGGACAGACTAGATGCCCGAGAAGAGGAGGGAGTGAAAGTCAGCTGTTGAGTTGTGTTGAGAATTTTAGGGTTTTGTTAGTTGTGAGGCAGTGGTATATGTTTTTAGGGATGTTATGAAGGGTAATGTTGGAGAACTGGGTGAGTATTTCATTTTTTTTATTTCTTTGAGGTTAGTTTATTTCAGCATAGCCAGTTAGTTGTGTGAAAGGCATTTTTTGGGCATTGCCATCGTTGTTGTTTTTTGGGAAAGAGAGTGAGTGTGTGAAAATGTGTAACTTGCACAAATGCAAACACATTTTTGAATTGGTTTAATAATTTCATTTATCTTAAGTGTTTGTTGTTTATTGTCTTTTTAATACCACTTTGTGACAAAACATTAAAGCATTAAGCAACTGGAGATTGTTGGTCTGGTCTTGCTGGTAGAACTGTGTTTTACTCCCCCCATTGTCAGTATTCACATATTTACTCATTCTAACCTGAAAAGGGCTCCATAGACTCTTTTCCTTTTAACATTAAAAAAACCTTTACCTCTTCTTTTGCAGCTTACACATGCTGACAGCCCCCTGTTCAAACTTCATTTGCTCATTTATGTATACTTAAAATTATTTTGTATTTGCATATACATATTGTAATATATAATTAATAAAGATGTAAAAATACTATATACATATTATTTGATTTAAATATTACAAAAAACTTTAAAACTTTTCTAGCTCACAGGCTACTAGTGAACCAAATTGTCACTTGGTTTGAAAAACTAGTTTGGACACTTTCCATTTTCCATTGCAAAACTCATGACAAATAAGATTCAATTGACAAATGTGCTGATGCCAATGTTCCAGCTAGACTAGCAAGTAATTATTCTCCCCACTCCAAACATATTGCCATGCAGAGTGCAAAACAGACCTCTCCAACAAGTCCCACTTAAAACATCTTTGATAATCAGTCTGCAATTTCTATTTTGTGTGTGAGAGGTCTGTTAAGTGCTGGCAGTGGTTGGTCGAATTTATCTTCTCCAAAATGAAGGACAAGCTGTTTGCCTCGGGTCATTTGTTTTAATCAGGTGCAGCTTATATAGAATGTTGTATTCATTTAAGAATGGTGACATAATTTTCATAGAAGTATTTATTTTGTGACAAGTTGTTCAATTGACTTCTCATAAAACCTGTAAAAGTCTGTGGGAAGGCAACAGTGTGGACAAATTTCAAACTTAAGAATTTCACTCACATTGCCCCCACTAAAAATGTCCAGTTAAGTAAAAGTGTAAAGAGTAACTCAATAATAACTTTGCTGTTTTTTTTTTCCTGCAGTTTGCCTCCAGGAAACACACATAAATATGCCTTAAACTCCAAAGAGCCAAAGATCTTGACCCCAACAAACAGGAGAAGAGTAGCAGTAGATGATAAAAATGTGTTCTTTCCATGCATATTTATATATCTGTGGTACAGTATATGTAAATTGTTTGTAAATAATTGTTTGAACATATACAGTATCAGTTCATATATATATTCTTTTGTACACATACACTTTTCATTAAGAGCTTCCTGGAAGAAACAAACAGGTGCCCCAAAAATGTTTGAAATTCCAGAGAAACCCTGCTAATATCTTTAATTTGGCCAGCTTTTCTGATGCAGCTTGAATTCTTGTGAGTCCAAGGAAATTAATGTCGGTTCTGTATTTTAAATATGTGAGTACTTATTTTTCATTATTAGTAGATTTTGTTTGTTCAGGTGACCTCTTTAGGGTGTCAAAGTCTGAACAGAGGTGACTGTACCACAGTGATGTGCAGTTTAGCTTTCCTCCGCTCTGGCAGCTGTCCACTTTACTTCACACATTGAAGGCATGGAGAACCTGGGGTGGAAAAACAAGGATGATGCAAATGATTTCTTATCATAAAGTGCTGTTCTCTCTATCTAATGAATTAAAAATGAAGAATGCATTTCAGCTGTTGAATGGCAATTTATTTATCACAATGTACGAACTAGACATAATTTGGATTCTGTAACTGCACTAATTACAGTAGTTTTCATGGGGATTCAAAATTAGCAGTTATTCCTGCAAAGCATTGTGTAGATTTCTGCAAAAACAGCTGAAAAGATCGAAAAATACATATTTCCAGTTTGAAAGAGATGGGTTACATAGGCACAGATTGGGAATATTTTTAATTTTAAATATTTCATACTTTAATTTATATTCAGTTTATATTTGTACATATTAATTTGACTGGGTGTTTGCTTGCAACTATGTTTCAGATTTGGGTTTGTTGTAAAATTACTTCTTTTTAAATATCTGTTGAAGGCAAAAAGATTTTGATTACCTTTGCGACTTTTTTCATTTAGCTGAAACATTTTTTTTTATTGGGAAGGTCAGATAGTCATTTCAAAGTGAAAATTCCTGTTGTTAAGTATGAAGAATGGTTGTTCTGTCTTCAACTTCCCCTTTGTCTCAGACTCCCTCTTCAGAAAGAAATTTTAGAACACCTGGACTAAAATGTACTACATACTTGGTCAGGCAGAAACTTGCCCTGCTGTTAATAAAGTGCTTAACACTTTTGCTGAAAAGGACTACCACCATTTCACGTTGGAGACATCCCTGTGAGCCTTCACTTCAGTGCTGACCAACTGCCTGAGAAGAAAGGCAAAGACATAAAGGGAAGAAATCTCTGACTTTTAGTTCTTAGATTCTGATCTATTATCATTTTCTCCATTTTGAATATTTTAAAATCTTACTTTGCTGGAGACAGACCTATTGGGCCATTTTAAGTAAATCAATTGTTTTTTTTCTATCTATTGTTTTGCAGAAGTTACAACTGTCTCTACAAATATGTTTTATAGAGTCATTGAAATGTTTACTCTGTGTGAATGCTGCTACACACTGGAGCTGATTTTGTACTCAATACAGTTCTTTTGGAGAACAGAGTGATGAACATCACAGGTTGATTGACCCCATGAAATGGGGGGTCTATGTATAAAAAGGGCTGTGATTCCTATATGGTTCACCCAATACAGACATAAATATCCCTGAATTAAAGCTGACGTTCTGCACTTTAACCTTATCTTCATTGTTTTATTTCAAATCCAATGTGCTGGAGTACAGAACCAAAACAGCAAAAATTGTGTCGCGGTCCAAATACTTATGAACTGCACTGTATATATATTTATAATATCTGTCCACTACAGTTTATATTTTGTCAACTGTCTTTCACAGTGCCTGAGTTGAGAATGTTGGCTTTTTCTTGATATGGAAAGCTATGTCTTGCTGCTGAAGACAATGAGGTTATGGACTGCTGTAATTATAGCTGTCTCTGTTGATGATACTTTAAACAAGCTTTCAAGGAGACTCCCTAAGGGACCAGTTTTCACGCAGCAATACAAGCCGAAAAACTCTTGACAGACGTTTTTCTCCCGTAAGAACGAAGAAATGAAAAGCAGAGCCTCTTCAGTCATAATTCTAATAAAGTGTATCTTTGCTTGAGATAAAATTCTCTTTTTAATTTAATGCTTTTAACTTGCATGATTCTTCCATATTGCATTTGTTTAGAGGGCAGTGATAGTTGGAACAGAGGTTAAAGGATTTTCTTTTTTTAGATTTTATCATATGAAACAGAAAAAATCTTTCAAAGAAAAAAAACTAAGATGTGACAAAGTGTTCATTCAGGAACAGGCCAAGTGTTTCTTGATGAAGCAGCTGTTGAGAAAGATGAATGATGGAAAAAAAGAAAAGCAGGACTGTATGTTGAATTGACTGCAGATGGAAAGAGAAACAAAATGCAAAATGAGTCTATCCCCTTGTGGTATAAGTGAATTAAGATGTTCATCTTTTCTTTCAGGTGAAGCAAATGACAAAGATGTCCAGGTAGTGGAGCTGCCCATTGTGGACAGTTTGCACCCTAGACCACCGTACCTGCCACTGGCTATTCCCGAGGACCTTGCAGACCGGCTGGACCGTCTTCATGGTGACCCCTCAGTGTGGTGGGTCTCCCAGTTTGTGAAGTACCTCATCCGTCCACAGTCCTGGCTAGAGAAGGAGATTGAGGAAGCCACAAGGAAACTGGGGTTCAAGCATCCTATAATTGGGTATGTGACCTCAAAAGAGAAAAGGCTGCTTCCAGAGATACAGTGCAGATGCACATTCTACATCTACAGCATTGTATAGCAAATTGTTACTGTTAGTAAACAGATTTTTAGTTCAATATGTGCTTGTGTCTTGAATGAAGGTACAGTGCATGCATGTTTTATCTTAGCACAGAATGTTTTAGGGGCAGCATAGCATACTAAGTTAGTTTCTAGTTTTATAATCAATAATTTGTGGGTTCAAGTCCCTGCTACGAACATGCTGTTTTATATTCTAGCCTGATGATCTGATATGTTTTGGATATGGAAATTAACACAACTTAATCAATGAAAAGACCGCGGGAACTTTTCCTCCCCCCTACATTCTCAGAGTAGAATAGGGGAACCTTCCAATGAAAGACAGTTCCTCTTCCCCCACGGACAAACAGACAAATGTTTTCACTGCCTATTATTTAAGGCTGTGGTCCCTGCTAGCTATTCAGAGGTAATGTTAATCTAATGTTAAAAATTCTAAAAGTATGCTTTTGTTTATGCCAATAATGAGCGAATTCGCAGAAAAGGTTAAGACATTATTACTTTTCACAAAGTATATAAACTTAATATGGTCAGAAGGAGCATGTAAAAACATTTCCAAAATAACCACATGTAAGACTTTGATGTTTAGGGAGAAAGTGAAATACTGGTGTGTATTTTTTCTTTAAAATACCAATACCAGCCATATACAGTTTGTAATGTAGGGATTTCTATATTTATATCTTTATTTAGTGGTTACATACAGTAAGTGACAAAGGCTAAACTTTTAACTTCAGTAATGCAAAAGCTGTATGGCCAACATTACTTACATGTTTGTAATAACAATATAGTGTTGATAATATTTATTGTCAGTAATAGTATCAGTAGCAGCTTGAAATGATTTGTTGTTATTAATAAAAGACTTAGGTTTGAACATGTTGTGATATTTAGAAATATAGAAAATGACAATATAGTGCCCAGAATATTTTCTATTTTCTATTCCACAGTGCTTGAACAGTTCAAACTAAAAGTTTGAACATAAAGTCAGTTTCTCTGTAGTACTTAATTTATTGGCTTTGTACAGTATATATAATCTATTACATGCAATTGGGTGGCCAGTAAATCCACCACTGAGATGCATCACCCGTGTGGGCAACAATTTGCAGGTATTATGTCAGCAGCTCCATTACACAGCACATCCAGTGTGTCTCACAAAGGAAGACAGTTTGTCACACTGCAGACCAGCAACGGCTCACAGCCTGCAGCTGCCCAGGAAGAAAAAAAGCATTCCCACGAGGAATCAAAGCTGTCCACAGATCAAAGACGTGGTCGGTTTGGCTTTCCGTCCATCCTTTTATCCCCACTAAGCATGCAGTCAATAATTCCTGACTGCCACTGAAGGGGCGTTCCATCTTTGATCTTTCACTGGCATTACTGTTCTGATCGCACTCCTCTCTGGACATGCTAGCACACCCTTTTCAGTAAGCGGATCCCTGAACTAGTCTAAGCCTTGGACAATGAGTACTTGCTCAGTGTCGTCAATCCCAGTCAGCAGCCAGCCACTTCCACAGTTGGAAGCCAACTTCTGCCCTGACTATAGCAGACGCTATCCTAGTCAGCAGCAAGTCTTTACTGGCTGCCCAAGTGAGCAATCAGCCTCTGCTGTGACCATAACATCAGCTACTCCAGTCACCAACCTACCTCTGCAGCAACTGTTTCAGCATCTAACAGTGGGTACCTGGTGTCTGCTGTGGCTTCTAAAGCCTTACTGATTTGCTATAAGTTTGCAGCCAATCTGGATCACTTTTCCTCACTCCTGATGTGTTCCCAGTAAACCACCCCAATGACGAATGCTCAGTCCTGTTTGGCTCAAGATGCAGGCTCTCCAGTTTCTGCGCTAGCCTGTTGCAACTTCCACAGCTACTCTGGTCCCCTGCAAGCCAGTCTCTGCTTCAGCCCACACAGACAGTTCCAGCCTGTACCAGACGGCAGCAAAACACTGCAGCTTTTGTAGTTATTCCACTCCAATAGAAGCAGGCAGCCACTTACTGTACTTTTTGGACTGGTCTTCCTGCAGTCCGCCCTGCACTCTACGTTTGGGATGGTCTCTGGCATGTGCCCTGACCAGTCTGGCTACTGGAACACTCCTGGGCAACCACCAATAAGAGGTGTACTACTGCTACTGATATTATTACTGACAATAAATATTACCGACACTATATTGCCATTACAAACATGTATTCCATATGGCATATGCATAAGCTTTTAGTGTAAGCTACAAATTTAGCCTTGTCACTAATGTAACCACTAACTAAAGACAGAAATATAAAAATCCCTACATTATAAACTGTATATGGCTGGTATTGGTATTTTAAAGAAAAAAATACACACCAGTATTTCTCTTTCTTCCTAAACATTTTAAGCATCAAAGTCTTACATGTGGTTATTTTGGAAACGTTTATACATGCTCCTTCTGACCATATTAAGTTTATGTTAAGTTTAAGTTCCCGTAGGCATTTTTAGGTTGTCTTTAGGTTCACCTATTCTACTCTGAGAATGTAGAGGGGGAGGAAAAGTACCCGTGGTCATTTAATTAGTATTAAAATTCACACTGTGATAAATTGTTGCACTCCCACGTCTTGTAAAAACATTAATTTGCAAGACTGTGTTCAAACATATGTTACATTTAACTATCAAAAAACCAGGGTTCACTTTTTCTGCCACATTTTTTTAGTGCCACATTAAATAAAAGCACAAAAAAAGAGATTCACAATGCAAAGCTCTGTCAGTCTTCTGTGTAAAAAATCAGTTTGAACATCATGGGTGCTGTTTTTAATAAGCGGCTGAGTAAAGATTTTGAATTTTCCTGCTGTCAGCACTATTGTGTATATAGTTGACCTTTACATTAATGAAAACAGGACATAAAGAAAGGGTTTCAGAAATCAAACAAAGCTTTATTCCCGTGTTTACAGTCTGGGTAATTGTAGACTGCGCTGTTTTGCTTTCTATGGTGATATACGGGTTTTTCGCACGAAGCTGTATTAAGCAGTATTTCTCGTGTTGTGAACTTGTGTACACATCAGTCCCCCAGGGTTCCAGTTAGTACATAATTACGCATAGATGGAAAACCGGAGGTTTTAGCTCACTGATAGTTTTATGTAGAGGCTGTGAAAACTTTTCACAAGTAGAGGTCTTTAAAATGCGTTTGGTTTGAAGGCTTTCTGTGTTTCCCTTGCGAAGATATGGACATAAGAATATTTGTGTGTGGTCAAAAATATGGCGTAAAAACAATATAGTGAAGGCTGTGAAAACATTCACAATGTACTTTGTACACACAGCAAGTGTTTTCGTAACTCTAGGAGGTTTAATGAAAATGCTACAGGCGTGCCAAAATCATTTTCAGACTTCAGGCTAACTTTACCGCAGTCTTCACAGACTTCCTTGTTTGAACTCAACTGTGCTTCAGTAAATAATGTACAGTTTATCACCTTCTGCAATGCTTCTAGTTTAGCATGATTTGTGCAATAAGCACATTGTTTAATGGGGATGACATTACCGACGTCTACTGTATATCACTGTACGACACAGGTTTGAGTCGGCGTGTCTGTTAATAAAACAGAGCGCCTTCCAATACATATAACTACTGCGTGATTTCTTTATCCATTTCAGCTAAATGAGGGAAATTAAATCAGTCATAATCTTGGAGTGCCAATTTTAAGAACCATCTGGGTGCAACATGCTAAAAATGCAGTGCTCATTACCACTACAAAAATAGAAGATTTTTTTTAAAAAAAAGAAATAAATGTCAAAATGTTTCCAAAGTGCCCACTTGTGATACTTAAGCTGCTTAGTTACATGATTCCATATTAATTTAGCTATCACTTGATGTTAAATCACTACAACATTTATCTTTTTACAATAACAGCAAGTGGTGTTCTTACTACTGTACTGTACGTATTCTTGGAAAATGATAAAACGTTATAACGTTATGAAGTACACAATATAAGCTTTATGTGACGCATACGGCCGACATTGCAGGTTGTGCAAGCCGGTTTACCAGTGCGGTGACTTCACTCCCCTTCCCTGTGGATAGTGTGAGAGTCATCAGCCACTGGGATGGGGGGAGATCTCCCTTTATTTTAGCTGGCTGATTCCCTGTTGAGTGATGCTGGAGGCCCGGGTCCGAGTCCCCAGTGGTGGGGGGCCCACCTGAGGTGGCAGCGGCGAGGGTACATACCCATGTGAACCTGAGAGCACTACATTAATAATGTTAGATAATAATGTTAGAACAAGTACATTATCTTCAATTTAAGACCTGAACCAGGCTCCTGCTATGTTCTGCTGCAGAGAGATAACAAATGTTTAAGGGGGAGGAAATTCCAGGCAGAAATTGTCTAAATATGTCAATGGTGTTAGCCAGAACCCATGTAAATTAGTTAAATAAGTTGAATACTTTGATCTAAAATATGTAATTAAAATATTTATGATGAAGGTGGAAGGTTGTGTACTTTTGTCCAACTGAACAATTAAGCTTTTATAAAATATACCAACTTTTTAATGTTTAATGATTAACATGCTGTAATACACAGTTTAAAATTAAAAGTCTAAAGAGGATACAACTTAAATTCTTAATTGGACAAAGATTGTCCCTCAGCAGCGATCGGGATTCGAAACCGGGTGTTTTCTGGTGACAGCTCAAATGCTGTACATGAGAGATTATTAGTTCCACCTGGCAGTGATTCTGGATACTATTATCATAGCTGCGGTATTATGCAGTATGACACGATCTGACGCGTTATGAAGCATTGCGATGCGACTTGCCCACTGCATTTTACCGCAGCTTACCCTGCTCGTTTTGAATGACTGCATCTGTATGTATATAGCTGGTAGTATTACTGTAATCCACTTTCTTTATAAACAGGTTTTATTTTTTAATTTGACTCATCCACGCATGATTACTTTCTAAAGCTTTTTTCGTCGCAGTTGTGTTT